GATAACCACCAGATTCGATGGTGCGGCAGAGGTTGTCTCCTTCCTGGGGTCCACGCATTCGTCATGCTCTCCCAGGCAGGCTCTGTAGTGAACCCCGAAGGAATCCAACTCTTCGCAAACATCACGCGTCTTGGAGTAGATGAAGCGCCTGGCAACGCAAGAAGCTGAGGCTGAGGCCGTCACGTCCCCTCAGCACTCCCTGAATCTGAATGTTAAGCCTACTTAGCGGTCTCAGATCACCCTGCGAGTAGAACATGAACCAAATTCCGCCGATCCGCCTGGTGCTGCACAGCATGGGCCTCCACCCAGAAATCTGATACCTTCTCTCTTCGTCTCTCTGTATCAGCAAAATATAAAGTCTTGGGGGGGATGCATGCCAAAAGAAAAACCACACACCTGCAAAGAAGCCCGAACCTACGGTCATCTTGCTTTGACATGGGTGGCAAGGTGATCTCTGCTGGTCACACGAGGAGGACATGCTCCTTCCCCGACCTCAACCTGAACCCGCACAACTCGCCACTGAGCAGCACAGGTGTCAGCGCGACACGCACGGCCCGTGAGTCGGTGTCCGTCACCTCCAAGTCCAGGGCCCGGCTTCATACACAAGTGGTGCAATGCTTGAAGGTTGCTTGTGTAGGGAGGTTCTGCAACTGGGCAGGCTGCGCTGCAGGGCGACTTCTAGCTCCGTCGACAAGTGCACGGGTGTGTCCTCTCGGGTTTTGAGATGCAGTTGTCACACCGACAAGCTTGGTCAAGAGCGGGTCCATCTTCAACAAATCTATGACATCCATGCGACTCAAGAGTGTGAGGAACTCCACGCAATCTGCTAGCAATGATGAGGAAACAAGGAAAACCCTTCGAACGCCAACAGTGAAGGAAGCCTGCAACCGTGAGGCTGCCGATCCCCTCCTGACAATCCCGAAACCTTGAAGAAAACATCCCGAAAGAAACCTCATAAGGGCACACTCCGGAAACCCCGAAGCCACGGCCACAAACCTGGACTTCGCCAAACCCCGAATCGTCAAGAAGACCTCAACCCACGACCTGCAGCCTCAACCCCAAACCCCGAGTCGCGAAAGTCGACTCAATCCCATGAGGACTCTGGCTCTGGCGCCTCGTGGGGAAACAGCGCCCCGTTCACTCCAATGAACGAGCCCATCCTCGCCAAGGTTGCGGTCAAGTTGACCGCTAGATCCTTTCGGGGCACGCTTCAGTGACTGTCTTTTGTGGGGTTTCAAGCCATTGAACTCCAAACCTCTCAGAGGGGGTTAGCCATATACGAACCATTCCTACGTTCATGAGGTTTCTCATTCCCAAGGCTTTACCGCAAAACGGCCTTCGCATGTTCGATGGTGCTCTGCTTTAAGGATGGGAGCTTGAACTAAAGCATGACTAGATGGAAAGCTTCGGGCTTTAGGCTTTAGAGGGCTTGGAGTTCGGCAACACCCCTGCCCACAGTACTGAGCCGTCCTCCGACTTCAAGAAGAGGAGGTTCGCGGAAACATCCTTCAGATTCTTGATCTGGTCGAACCACTGCCCGGTGATCTTGTTGGCCCTGGGTGTCCACACCTCTTTCTTGCCGTCCGCCAACACCAACTCATCGAACAGCTCCGGGCTGCGGACATGAATCTTCCTGAAGTGGCGGACAAGCGGCGCAACCGAAAGCCCTTCGGCGCAAACCCGAGATCCCGAACCCTTCAGTTTCAACCTATGAAAGGCCAGAGAAAACAACCTTGAGTCCTGAGGAGCCTGTCATATCTGGCCAGAGGCGAACTCCGGACCCCAAAACCTACAAGCCTACAAGACGCCCGAGCCCTCAACTTGCAAAGACTCTACCGTCTGCGATTTGGGGCTTGCGGTCGCATCAACAAACACAAAACCTGAGCCTGCAGCGCATGCGTGGGACATGGGTTCCACGTC